GCCGTCACGGGGCGCCGTGTCGGGTTAAGCAGAGCTGTATACAGCGTTTGCGCAAGAGAACACGGACGGCCCGTGAAAACCTTGACGCACTCCCCAACCTGAACTGGCAGTTGCACTTCACAAAGGCGGCAGCTTGAGTTCACAACCAAGTTCATAGGCATGCTATCACGATGCACTCTTCTTATTCTCCTAGACGAATCTGGTACCAATTTACCGTCCCCGGAGGGTAGAAGGCTTGGTTGGCCTGGGCGGGAGTCGACCCGGGATTCGAACCCGGCGCCGCGCGAGTGGTAAGCGCCCACTTGTCACTAACCCACCTCCGCCTAGGCACAGTGATACGAGCTTCAAATGCAGGGTTTTATGCAGTATAAATGGAAGAGCCTTCGCTATCAATACACATTCGGGATGCGGCACGGATTCTACTTCTATTGAGAATCGTAGCGGCTTATTGAACGCGGTATGCCTTATACAGTGATTACGGGGCTAGCCGATGTACAAGTCAGCGTTCTTGTCCTCTATGAGAAGTCTGGTACTAATTTGCCATGCTCGCAGGTAGAAGGCCTTGCCTGCCTGGGCGTTTATAGGCGGGATAATAACAAGTTTGAGGTGGACTTTGATGTATCTGAGTGTAGGCGCTCAGTCGTTGGACTGGCGTTCCGTAGACAACGCATGTTTCGCACTCTTGAACATATTTCTTCCGCGATCCAGCTGTCAGTTGTTCTTTTTTCCGCGTTTTGGCGTTCGTATACGATCGCAACTTTGACAAGGATCATAGACCAGCTGTTGGGTCCACTGGCATAACTGCACTTAGCTGTACAGCTCATAGGGGTCAAGGCTAAGAGGAAGGGTGATGACAGGTCAAGGTACTGTGCAAGGCTTAAGAGCTAAAGGTCAAAGGGTGAACAGTAAAAGATGAAAAAAATTCACAAAATTGAGCAGTAATGCCCAGAGAGCTTTGCTTTGCTAGTATCAACCGCAATGCCGTTGTTTGTTTCTTCGAAGCGTTATCAGGGTCAATCAAGGGTCACCCGCAGACTCGACTGACCCTTTGCCCGTCTGGCCAACTATTATATCATTTTTACCCCATGTTTTATTTCGTATGTACTCGCTAAATCCTATGTAGTAGGCAAAATCGAAAATTTTGTACAATACGAACTTAGGCACCTTATCATATCTACCCCATACAATCTTATAAAAATTAGTTTCGTAGAGTTTTTGAGTATTTTCGCGCTTTCTGAAATCTATAGCCTTCTTGGCTGTAAGTTTAAATTTTTTTTTCTTGCACTGCATTCAGAAAACCTTGGACTATTTCGAGAACGTTCTTCTTTTACATTTCTCAAAGGAAGGGCAACTGTTTATTGGTAAACAATAAATAGCCCACCTCACTAATCGATTCTCTTCCAACGGGCACTACTTTTTACGAAGAATTATCAAATACTAACTCTTGGCACAAATCAAAAATGAAAAATTGCAAATCAAAAATCAAAAAAAATGCAAAATGGTATATCTAAAGTAATATAGATCAAAAGCTAATCATTTATGTGGAATCGTTCATCAGAAATCAATTAAAGTAATCAATCTGATTATGGTTCACCTTTCCTTCAATGTTACTATGTCAAGAAAAATCAATTACCTAATTTCAATATCTACAAAGCTTCCTAACTCGCACGAAAACGCCTTTGATCGTTGGACTGGGGCTAACGATCAGCGTCTAGCCTTTATTTCTTTACACCCAACAATCAAGCATCTTCGGAACACGTTCTGTCTTTTTCTCAGATTTTAATTGAACCTCAAGAGTTGAGAAATTTCTTGTAGTTATCCTTATCCAAAGCCCAAGAACTCTAGCGATTACGGCGCATCTTATGACCTATCATATCATATCATATCAGAATCGTAGAGCCATTTCTTTTTATTTGGTCCAAACCACCAGAACGGGGGGGGGGTTTAACCCACGGAGGTCCTTTGTTATCCTATAAAACATTTCTGGTTCTTGGACTTTGATCGTAAATGGTACGGTCGACATATGGTTTTGAAGCTGAAAGTGTCTACGTAAAAGTGTGTAATTTCGCCCTATAACTTACACTACTCATTTGACCTACTCTTAGATTCTGTTCTGTTCCCATTGTTTTCCGATTTTAGGGTTTGTCAGGTTTTTCTATTGGGGCTAGGTGCAGTGCTCCGTGTCGTTATCAGGACATGGGCAATCCCCAGTGGAAAGGAGTCGTTTTTGGTCGCTGGAGGGAGAGGGGGGAGGGGAGCCGTATCCGCCTCTGAGAGAAATTTGCTGCCTTTCGCGGTTGTTGAGTTTTCGCGTGTTTCTGTGCTGCTATGTATTCCCCCCCCCCACCGCTTCCTCGCACAACAGCAAAATTTTGGTAAAAAGGTAAGAAGGGAGTATGAAATTGAGAAGGGTCGTAATTTTCTTTGGCGGCAACACGTACCATGGACGTAATGCCTTTATGGTGCTATAGTACACTCGAAATCCCTGAGATGTGGTAGGCGTTCTGCGTACTTCAACTAAACGTGGCGGTAACCTTTCTTTTGGTGAAAAATCTCTTCTTTAACGCAGTTGTGGTCATGTCTCTGTCCAGCACCGGGCAACATGACAATTAGCTCATACTGGAATATTCCGAGTACCCATTCTATGCTGTGTTCATGTGTCACGCCTACCCCGTCTCAGGGATAAGGGCGTACGATGGTGCCGCTCGCTGGCCCCTCTAGCGCTGTCCAGTTCCTTGACCATTGATCGCCGTGAAAGTTTTATGCCATGTCGTTGAATCAACCTAACCCCTATTTCGTGGAAATGTAGGTTCAGCTCCAGTTTCGAACTACTTTTGGCTGGGAAACCTGCTATGCATGACATCTTTTTAGCTCAGCTGCCAGTGTGATAGCCCATTACTGTGACAGACGGATAAAATGGTCAGCGTTGAACAGGTCTTTTGGATGCAATGCATTTAGTCAAATAACTAGTATATTTAGTCATAACATATTGATGACGTCATTTTCTTGATTTCAAGCAAAATAGGTTACTAGAGAAGGCATTTACCGTAGTTTTGCGCGTGAATGCACCGGTGAGACATCATCCGTGATAACAAGTTTAAGCCCTGAATAGAACTCCTCTGCTTGTTGCCTTCTGAGCCCAAAAACAATGCCTGAACAAGGCGTGAACGTGCTTCTCACGCCTCACTGGCTAGCGTTTTACCACTTTATCACTGAGTTTTCCTGCTTCTACCTAGCTAGTAAGCGATTAGCGTCTAGCTTACATCATTTACCGGTGCTTCACGTGGAAATCCGGTTACTACCTCAACCTTCAAAATTATGGTGTCACAAGGCAATACCATGTTTGACCGGAATAACAGTTTAGTGGAAAACGAAAACGCTTCATACATTTGCTCTCAGGTCAGAATCGTAGAGCCCTTCTTGTTTGTTAACTCAGTACCAGAACAACTGGGGGTTACCCCGTCCAGGAGGTCCTTTTTATCCTACAAGATGTTCTGGTAGTTGGATTTGATCGCAAGTGAAATAGCCCACAGAATGGGAAAATTCAACTCTGTGCTCGTGAACTCGGGTGATCCCGTCCCCTCTCTTTCGAATAACCGCAACGAAAAACCCATATGATCATTTTTCTTGAACATGATTGAAGCAAGTTAGTCCTTCTGGGCAGGATTAGTGCACAAGCGTCATGTAGGGGAGACGGGCAAGGGATTCATAATTTGCCGCTCCGCAGCGCGCGGCGTTTTCAGCTCGTGTTAACCTGTCGATTGGAGCACCGGACTTCATGTAGACCCCGTCATCGTAGACATTCATGACTATTTTCGGTTCTGAATTGCCGTTGTTGTCACCACTACCTGGAACCATCGTCATTTGCGGCGTGACGTTGCACGCGACTCCGACCAGCGCGGCGAATTACGATTCTCTTGTCACATACCCTTCATCATACCCAGTGATAAATTCTACTTTCAATTACTGCACCAATTATATAGTAACAAAAAGAAGATTGTATCAAGTAGCTGTTTCTAAAGGACCTGCTTTCCACGCAGACTATTCAGATTTTACGGTCTCAACGTGCCTGGACATTCTCAGCGTGCCTATCAAATAGCGACGGTCCGTTCTTTGTCCCTATGCCCTGTATTTCCTGAGTACGGTAATTGGCATTCTTCCTTGTCGGAGCTCATCATTTTCCTCGACCCTTTTTTGGTTCGATGAGGAAGAGGTTTTTTCATTCGCGGTCGGCGAGTTTTTATCAGATGTTGTTGCTATAGTGCATCTTCTGAATGACCCGCTGCCCTTTTTGTGCAGGCACCGTTTCTGAGCCCGTGAGAAAACCCGTGACATACCCTTTTCCTATGGTCGTCTTAATACGGTAGTGCATAATTTGTTTTTTCAGTTGCTGCGCAAGCTGTAGGTTTCTAGGATACAGGAAAGCAGTTGCGCCACACAATAGTACTTTTATGGTCCTTTTTTCCTCTTTATCATCTCTCATTTTCTTACTCCTCTTTTCCGCTTTCTTCTTTCTGATTCCTTTCAAATCCCATTTTGATAAAGGACAAGATTCTAGTACAGTGCACGACAAGCTCCTAAAGGTAACGGGACGGTGCCAATGCTTACCCAGTTTCTCTAGTATTTCCATCAAAGAGAAGGTGCATGGCGCATCCTACTATTCAGCTCTCAATCTTTGTTTACAACAAGGAATTTCAAGCAAATTTTAGGGTCTATATAAGTTTGGATCCCTACTTATGATCCTACATCAACTTTCGGATGTACTTATAACTAGTTTTTCATTGGGTTTGAGCATTTTTTCTTCTAAATGCGCTGTTGCGGTTCTATTCAGTTTTGGAGCTATTGTGGAATCAATCAAACCCTTTTGAATTTATTTGAGCGAGAATTTTGGAAAAATGCCAAAATAATGTAGCTTACTCTGGACCATTGAAACTGATTACTTTCATTGCGTATTTCACACTTTCAAAGTAGAAAATTACTCCAGTACTGAGCATTTTTTTATGAAGTTGGTGAGTGGGGCTATTGATATATGCCGCCGGCATCCATGATTGGTTATTTCGGATGCCCTACCACTGACCATGAGAAGCGTCCAACACATCCTCAGAGCCTTGCATGATCTTCACAATAAAGCGCACAATATAACATACCCAATTAATTTCAGAATTCAAGACAACAATTACCCTTTCTGCTGCTAAATGCAGTCCCGCAATCGTTTTTCGAAATATCCTCTGTAGAACTAGGGATTTGCTCCATCAAAGATTAAAAAATGGGCACTATTTACCCATTACTGCCCCAACCATCCAGAATTGAGCCAGTTTCTGACCGACTTTTTTCTCCGTGGACAGATTTGGCTCAAATGTTGTCTCCTGGGGTATTTTGACCTCCTGAATACGAATATGACATTCGCTTAGCCCGAAACCTCTGGCGCCCGCGCCACAGGCGCCGGTGATCTGGGGTATTTTGGCGCCAGCACCTGTGGCGCGGGCGCCAGGAGATGTGATATTCATGTTCAGGAGGTCAAACTACCCCAGGGTACAAATTTTCAGCCAATTCTGCCAAGGCAGAAAAAAGTCGGTCAAAAACTGGCCTGTTTTCGGAAGGCTGGGGCAGTAAAGGGTAAATAGTGCCAAAAAAATGTATTACTGTAGTTCCCCATTCCCTTTGCTCGTCAATTTCATTTAGTCAGTTTTATACCTGTTAAGCTCCAAAGGTTTTTGAAATGTTTTGCTCGTTTTTTACTTGCTTTTCCCAAATGATGCAATGAGTTTACCTGAATGTTTTCTGACAATGAACTAATTGTTTTCAGATGTAGTACTTCTACTTGTTGTACTTGCATACTTCACTTTTTCCATGATGAATACAGCTCAATCAAGGGTCTGACAACAACAAATTGTTATTTACAGCTGCAATCATCGTTCGCTCGCCATATGCTGTACCTGGAGGAGCACAGAGCTGTTGGCGAGGGCGTGCAAGCAGCTCAACAATTGGCCGAAAAGCACGAACAGTACACTGAAACAGCACTGGTTAGTTTTCTGCTCATCATCATTCCTAAGCTAGATGTTCACCACATTATGCCAGTAGGGAAGAGACGGCCATGACAATCGAGCTTTGCCGCTCCGCCGCGCGCGGCGATGGGCGCAACATTTTCTTAATTTGCGATAAACTGTCGAAAAGAGCACCGAAATTCATGCATACTGCAAAATCGTAGACACTTGTTGCTATTTTTGTTCATGCATTGTCTATTGGCGAAATTTACGACCTCGAGACGGGGCGCAACGTCGCATGCGACGCCTCAGCGCGGCGTTACGATTGTCTTGTCACATTCTCAGAGGTGGAGTGGAGGGACGTGCGTGACCGCGTCGTATTCTTTGGTACTAGGCGGTTTTCAGGCCAGCTGTATTATAGTTGCCACTTTTAATTTTATACAACATTTTGACCCTACAATGTTGACAATTCCTGGACTACACATAGCTCTAAATTTTTACTACTCTGTGCGTGACAATGCTGTCAGTGCTCCACCACTCTTCTCGGTGGTGTAGAGCTGCGCGTTGTTCTGCTGTAAATTTTCTATAGAGACTATCCTTGAGGTTATATAAAGCTACCAGTCTGCGGGGAATCTCATGGTCTATAAGTTCTACCTTTCTTCACTTACACCTTCCTTTGAAGCATACCCACCTCTATCTTCCTTCCTTCGAACTGGCTTGCCAACTCGGAGCTCCTCCTCTTCTAGGCTTCAGGCTCAGGCAAAAGTCTTTATCTCCACTGCAGCATTTCCAATTTTGCACAAATAGTCCTTCAAATGCACTGAGACTATGCGAGCCCAGGGTACAGAATCGTGATGTGTGAAATGGTAGTGTCACTACGACCCTCCCCCCCCCCTCGGAGGAGGATCTCGGAACGACCCCCACCTAAAAGAAGGTCACGGTACAACCCCACCCCCACACACACTTCCCCAACGCCTACCTACCACTTTCCTACAAGTTCCCAGCTTCCTACCAATTTTTCCGAAATTTCCCACATTTTCCAGTTTTTCACCCAAAAAATGTTTGCGAGGGAGGGGTAGCAGTGTGAAATGGGAAAAACTGCGAAGAGTCAACAACCGGGAAAAATTTTTTCCCAACGCGGCAAATTTCTCTCAAAGCACATACGACCCCCTCTCCCAACAACGACCAAATACGACCCCTCCTCCCCAGCCGAAAAGTACGACCCCCTCCATGTGTTTCACACAAAGATGCTGAACCCTGTGCGTGCCTGCGCGCCCGCATTTTCCTTGTTTTTCTGGTCTTCTTTTTGCCTTCGAACAAGTGGCTTCCTAGAATTTGCAGATGTTTCTGTTTCTGTCAGAAGTATGATTTCAGGAAGATGTGAAAGCTGCCAAAGCTCTCAAGGAAACTGGTGAAGAACTGATCTCAGCGAATGACGTAGGAGTATGTCGTGCTAGTCCAAACTATAAGCCTATAAGCCAAATTCTGGATTTCTTGTAAACTTTAGTTGTATACTCATTTCAATTCAATTTAGATCTCCGGAAGTTTATTGCCAAAATGTGATGAATTGGAGCGAATGGCTGAAGCGCTCAATGGAGCCCTCCAGAGACGGGCTACCGTGCTTCGAATGAGCATCGCAATGCATACTCAAATTTCTCAGGTACCAGAAATCTTGAACCTTGGGTCGAACCCTATATCAGTGCCAAAGCGAGCGCTTGTCGAATCTGTGGCTTCTACCCTGTCTACCGTTACAGTACCCCGTACAGTAGTTGACTAAGTTGATCTCAACCTGCGTGGAGTCCACGATTCTGCTGCGCGGTACCCTGCTTGTTCCTGTTCTTTAGTCCCGACTGAGTGGAAGATGGGCGGTGCAAGTCGTCCCTCCCAACTTCTACTGCCGTCGTGGATGCATTATGGCAATCCCTTTCTTATTCACTTTTCTATACTACGTAATAAAATAGGAGTGTAGTAATTTGTCCCATTGTCGGCTGCACGTTTTCGGGATCAGCTCGCAGTACCTACCTGTTCATTTGGGCTCGAGGGAATGCAGTTGTTCAAGGTACTGAAGCATTACTCCTGGGGAGAAACCCTTGCAGGTCGTAGTCTCACTCACGGCGCTTCGCAAATCTGCAAATTCTTGGAGGGTGGCTCGATTTGAAAAAAGCCAATTTTTTGCAACGTTCAAAACCGCATCTCTTCTTGTACCTACCTCTCAAACTGCTAACTATCAGTTCCAAAAGAATCTTTTTTATTCCCTAATCAAAAATGCGTGGCTTATCTCAGCCGAGGTGGTGGGCATATCCAATAGTTCCAGCGCTGTGAGAGTTGGTCATTTGTTTTAAGAGAGCCATCAATTTAGGCCAATTCTTGGTGCAAGAAAGGAGTCGACATGCTTTCATCGATACTCCAAGACGTGACCCCAGCATCGGCCAGCACAAGTCTAGCGAAAATGGACGAGTTTCTGGAAGAAGGATCGCGTCTCCAGGTATTTTACGCATACGATCTTTCCCTATTTCTGTAAATTACAATATGATGTTTGTAATTGCACTGGTTAAAGCATAAGTGTGGGCCGTGGTCAGCGAACTCAGATTGGTCAGAAAAGTCAATGATCATGTTCGAGTTCACAGCGCATGCCGTGGTTGCCTGTTATTGGTCATCGGCAAAACGCACCAATTGCAGACATGCCACTCACGCTCTGCGCGCTTCTGCTTTCCGAAGCAGCCACCGATTTTGACTGAACCACTTCAACTTTGCTGTTTTTAGTTGGATGCGATAAGCCAATCACCATCAATGAACAGCCTCATACTCCTTACCACCACAGAGACTTCTACCTTATTGGCTCAGGTAAATTTTATTACAATTCCTGCAAAGAGACTAGAGTAGAACTTTGTAGAATTGCTCGCATCTTTTGCACAAGGAAATCTGATCTTATTCTATTTTTGTTTCCATTGTTCCCTAGAAACAGAGTACGAAAAGTGCACTTTCTTTAGTTAGCTGTTGCGATCCGTGGGTCAGATTGCAGTCGGCGGCAAGCCCAACCACTTTTTTGTTCATGGTGTTCTATTTCCCTTTTCTTTTGCATCAGTTCAAGCAAAGTTCATTTTGAGGACTATTTCACGACAGTTTTGTACAATTTAAGCGCCACAGCCGCTAACAAGTAATTTTATGGCTTCATTTGACACTTGAAATCAATGCTAAGGTCCAGCCCACTTGTCATACTTTCTTTCTGTTTCTCAAATCCAAAGCGGTATAATTAACAATACTGGTACTGAATCATATCCGAGCTGAGAAAGAATCGTAAAAGAATATGTACCTAGCGGTCGAATTAAATCTTACCGATAACCCGATTTCGACATTGATATACAGTTCATAACGTCGCAATCAGGCGGGGCGGTGTCACGAGGGGCGGAATGAGCCCGCTTCGGCTGCCTTGCACTACCATTGATGACCGATCTGGGAAGAAAACAACCAGTAGTGGACACGCCGTGAGTGCGTTCATTGCGCCCTGAGCTGAGCCAACTGATTGCATGATATTATCGCATATCTATTGTATCTAGCGGATTTTTGAGAAGACACCTTGCTTCATGGAGAGATTCCGAGATAATCGGTTGGGTGGAGAGGTGGAGGGATACACGTAACAACTGAACCTTCGTCGCTGGTGCGCCCTTGCTTGCAACACGGTAAGGAGTAGGAATGCTCTAATAAGGGACCTAGAATGGATATGAGTCTCCGCCCACTTCTCTCCCATCGCTTATCGCGAAACATGTCTTGAAGCAGATTTGAGTGCATTGAACCTCAGTGCTTTCAACGTTCCCTGCACAACATTCATTCTTCGCCAGGGCGTGTCTGAGTCCAACTAATAGAATAAACTTTAGTAGTCTGAAGTTATTTTCAGTATAGGTAAGGGTAAAGTGGCAAATGAGAAAGCCGAAGAGGGCGCAGTTTGGCTTGGTGGGGGCATTTTACTGGTACCCATCGGTCACTACCGATGCCTCCTGGAAGACCGGTAAATTCCTGCAAAGGTATGTGCAGTATAGGTTCCTTTTACGCAAAGCAAAAATCTACAGGCCTCGCCAAGGTGTGATGCGTAATACAGTAGGAACTAGCAAACGAAACTGGCTTGATGGCAACATGCCCCTCCCAAACTGATCAGTGTCCCTGAGATTTATTGGCAATTGGTTCCATTTTGCTGCTACAAGCAGCAATACTGCACCAAACTATTATGCATTCATAATATTCCCTGACTTTTGGTGTTTGAAAGCGTTTATTTGTTGTGATCTCCCCCCCCCTAAGGGACCCAAGGATCTCTGTGTTGGTGGTCTAATTGTGTAATGTGTTCACGAGATTTTCAAGGATAATGCATGCACAAAGTGATTGATCAAAAGTTGTAATGCTCAGGTGGCCGAACGTATCGATGATATACGACGAATGGGAGTGGCAAGACGTGATGCTCTAACGAAGATGATCGAAAGAAAACCCGTACAAGTCGTTACTCCTGAAAAAACTCGTACACCTGTTGAAGAGGTAGGTGTATTGAGTTAGTTGAAGGAACATAACTGTAAGTAATTAGTGGATGCTGTTACAAGAGTTGTTCCTTCATTTCCGCTGGATTTCCGAAAAGTGAGCTGCGACATTTTTACTAGTTACACGCTGTAAGAGCGAGCGAGTCGATACCTCGTTAGTTCAGTTGTCGTTTTTCGGGAATGAGTGACACCTTGCAGAGAGTGCTTCTCAGAGCAGGAACACCTGTCGAGTTCTGCAACTGACGCACCTGTCCTTTAAAAAAAACATACTGAGTTCTTGTCGCCAGAGTGAGGCCCTCACTCATAATTTGAAAATCGCCCGACCAAAATCATTTTTCAAAGGCTTTGCGCATAATGAGAAATCGATATTATTAAAGGCCATTGAATCCGGGCACGATTCGAGTGTAGACCCCCCTACTTTCTGATTTAACTGTAATTAAACCTTCTATTCAGGAAAACTGGTGTCAGCAGCCGAGGCTGCAAGTCAGCCCAGCCAATAGCTTGGCTAACTTTAGCCTTTATCACAAGAATGCTGAGTTATGGGCAAAAGTCGTGCCCCAGGCGGGAGTCGAACCCGCACCTCACGCTTTCCGGGCGAGTGCGCTATCCGTTACGCCACCAGGGCCGCTTTTACCCTCTCAGCTTTTTAGCCTTTATATTCGTTACTAGGAGGGTCGGCTCCAACTAGACCGTGGTTTAGCTTAACAAGTGAGAGCCAAAATGATTAATCCTCTAAACTGATGAACTGATGATAGCGCAGTGGAATTTGATGGGTTGAACGAGTAGGCCCTACAGTCTTGTTCGCTGTGGATGCCGGGGCGTGTCAGGGGTTAGATCTAGCGCGTTGCCAGCTATTTCTTCGCCAACTGTTGAAGCGGACAAGCACCAACACTTCGTGGAAGACGTTCAGGCGTTGCGCCAAACCAAGCCCCTGGCATTTCGCAGCATCCGCTGTAAACAAGACTGTACGTCCGGAGTATCCTCTGCTGGAAATATGCATATGTTGGAAAATGTAAAGACATGATTCCTGCAAGCGATAAGGCGGGCGATACGGCGCGATTTGGAGCGCAGCCGGGGCGGCGTTTTTCACCAATGATGCATCCTTAGCCCGCTACGGTTGGTGGATGAGATCTGCCCTGGCTCCTCTACAAGCCACGCCACTGTCATACGCCCTATCTTTTGCAGGGATTATGACTGTAAAATGTGATAGGGTTTAGGGTCGAGCTTTGGCCCTGTAGTGCGCTATTTACTAGGAGCTGGACATTCGATACTAAATTCGACCTCAGTGCACGCACTGAGTGTCCCCGTTTGGATTGGCTGCAACAACCCTAGGCCTTACGGTATTGCCCATTGCAGCGAGCAGGAATCTGGTAAGCAAAGGCAGATTCTGCTTCAGTAGAAGGGTAGCGGTATCCTGTGAGAAACAAACAGTAACGTATGGACCGTAGCGAAAACAATGTGTCACCATCGTCACGTACTGTTACGCTCGAGATGAGAATTGTACGAACGAAAACATTCTCACAAAAAAAGCCGTTTTGATCGGTTCCAACGGATCCGGTTACGTTCTAGCCAGTTAATCAGGACTTGTCGAGTTTGGTTAGCTTTTCGGATGAAAACGTGCCAGCGCCAAGTCATCTGATATGAAGCTTAGCCCGCACCAGGTCTTCCAAAGCTGCGAAAACTGGACGTCGACTTTCGTAACAACAATCGCATGAACTGTAGACGATAACAATAAAGTAAAAAGCATTCTGTATGACTGCAGGCAAATTAAGGCAAAATAATGATGGAAAATCGTGAGGTGAAAACTTCTAAAAAATCAGCTGACTATCACGGAGCAAATCAGCTGACTCTAGGTATCGATCGCCGCAGTAAAGTATCAGTATTGATTAAAGCTATTCAGTAATGAGTGCATCATTTTCTTGATAATCTTCGTGCTCCATTTAGTGTGTCCGTTTTCCTTCTCAGCTTTTCAGAGAGTATACTCAGTTGATGATGTCTCAAAGTTCAACGAGGGGAAAAAACATTGGAAGCTTTGAGTCTGCCTCCTTTTGTTATTGATTAAGTAAAGTTAAAAGTTTTAATGGTAGTCACAACTGATGAATATATCACTACTAGTATTCCATGCTTCGACCCGAAATTTTCCTTGATTCTTACTGCTGTTATATTTGTCAACAATTCTCTAAGCTTATCTGATTGTCCGACTGGTCTACTTAGTCTTCGCTCAGACGCTGAGGCTTTTCAGGAACGGGACGGGGGGAGCAAGTTTCACCGACATGACTTTAGAATAAACCCCCCCCCCTCTATGAAACTGCCTTTTTTTACATTGACGCGGCGCCAACTGGTCTCCACCAACTTTGGAAGCTGTCAGGAACCACAGCTGGGTGAAAACGCTCTGGCGCCTCGCCAAACCAAACTTCCCACTGGAAGACCCTAGCGTCCACAGCGAACAGGGCAGTAGTGGCGTTCCAGGTGGAGCAAAATGGTAAATTTTGTGAAGTCGATATAAAAGCGATTAACCATGAACGATTTTCCTTCAAATGCCGAGGCCGATCAATTTTTCTGTTCAGAATGAGCCATAAGATGGATTCAGTCTTAATATTCTGCCTAAAAGATCGTGGCTCCGTTCTGGTCCCTGCTTTCGCACTTCTGTAACTGACAGTACGAACCATTGCATACCACTACAGAGGGAGCAACCTGTTTTTTTTTTGCAAATAACTCATGCTTTATTAAAAATTGTTTTTCAGGGCAGAAATTCCACAGGTGTTGAACGTTTGGGCCCTTAAAGGATCAGTGGAGTGCATGTCAAAAATATTCTAAGAAACCTTCTTCCCTCTGAATATTTCCGGGGGATACTTTCAAAAATGCTCAGCTTTCGCCTGTAATGCACCAGATGATCAGGGATATTGGATACTTTCTATAAACAATAACAGATAGCAGTAAATCAACCAAAAGCAGAAAGATTTGCCCCGTGTCTCTTTCGGGACCACATCTCGACCTTCCGTGTCGTCTCGTGTGCTCATTGTCAGATGTGCAGGCGGTACCTTGACATCAGGGCAAATCATCGTTCATGACTTTCCGACGAGGTGGCCGTACTTCATGGTTACTAGGAGGGGGGGGGGTCATTTGTTGAAACAATTTTCCCATCGGAATGATGTGCCCAATGCTGTCCAGTTGAATTTCTTTCAATTCGTCGATCTGAAAAGTAGTATAAAAAGTTTGAACATCTGTTAATCTGTCGAGGAAATTTATCGAATTCTTGAAAAACTTAGCGGCTATGAAACATTCCGGAACAAATGGCCACACCTGGTATTTTTGATTCGGAAAAATGTGACCAAAATGTTCTAAATAAGAAAGCTCATGTTCATTGATTATTATTGATTGATCCAGAACTCTTACACAGCTCTTGAGCAACTCTGTTGTTTCAAGCCCAACGTCAAGGGAAAGGTTTTTCCGAAAGCAGCTCGCGCGTGTCAAGACTGTCAAGAGTGTCAAGAATGACGGGTAAACATGAAGAGTTTGATAACTTGTCTGTTCCGAGGTTGATCGTAAAGGAACCAGGGTGCAGTACCTTGAAGTTGAAACGGTGCTGTTAGAACGACCCCTCTCCCCAAAACTTCCTCGTCGGACAGAACGACTCCTCCCTACTTACCATCTTCCTGGGTTTTCCCAATTTCCTAGCTTTTTTCACAGTTCTGCAGCAGCATTAAGGCATCATAAGGCGAACCTGAAACGGAAAAGCGGGGATAAATAAACAACCGGAAAATTTCCTTTCGATTCGGAAAACTTCCAACGGGGAATGCTGTCACGCCAGTGACTAAATACGACTCCCCTGGTGGGATTACCCAGTGATGATGTACCCTTTGGATGTGTTTATTTTGTTATGCAAATTACTATACATGAAATTATCTGGATTATTGAAATCAAATTTGCATAATAAACATTTGGAGCAAACAGACTGCTCATAAAGGTCATCGGAACCAAGGTTCTCTGAAGGTTATTCAGACCTTGGAGTGAGCGCGATCTTCGATGAGGTGAGAACATTGGCCAGGATGTGTCACCAAATGATTTTACCCTTTTATTTTAACGGTTCCCATAGATCACTAAGGGCGTACGGGTGTCACTGATTGATAGGTGCCATCCATTACGCTTTTTTATTACTGAATAAATCAATCTGTAACAACCTGACGGCTCGACATTTGAGACATTTCGAAGGCTCACGATGTACCAGTACGGCCATTAATTTCCAATTTACACCACCGTTCATCCTTAAGCGCCCCAATTTCGGAAATTCATGCCCAACTTTGATTCGAAGAATTCTCTCTAGGGCTTGACTTGGGCATAACCTGGTCTTCTGAAACCGTTTGCCCCTCCCCTTAATCCCCTATACCACATACGTTTGGCGCAAAGACGAATGGCGCACGACTTTACTAGGGGTTAGTACAGAGCTGGCGCACGATTCGCGCCAAGCTATTTAGTGGAACATTTACGTTCAGGGGGGGGAGAGTTAAGTTCCCAATAGAATCTTTTCCAGAACAAGTTTTCAGTAAATATGGTATTCGATACAGGCTCCGAGCACCTCCATACCAAGCGGATGTGATATTCGTGCTTAGGAGGCCAAACAACCCCAGAAGACGAAATCGTGTTTAATCATGTCTGAGGGAAAAATTCGATCAAAATCTGTCGGAAAATGGGTCAGCGAAGCGTCAAAAAACCTCAATAGCACCTTTTTCTCGGATTTCGGCCTTCATGGATCTTTCCAAGCGGCTTTCAAATTGGAGCACTGGGCGCGCCTTGCGCTGAGAGTTCCACAGCAGGATTTCGGGAGCGGGGGGGGGGAGAGGGGACCATCAAAGAAAACCACTGCGTTGCAGTTCTCTGGAGTTCTCACCACTACCTAGTCTTGACTGTTCCTCTATGCCAAATTCGATTAACATTTTAACAGAATCTCCTTGTAGAGGATAGATCTGGCTAGAAGTGCCCTTGGAGATGGTCCTGGACGCGTTTTGGTGCAGAGGCCTGTAGCGCACGAACCAAGTGTTTTCTGTGCCAGCGAAGGTGATAACTGTGTTCCGCCTGTGAACTATCCGCCGGAGAACTTTTCAATTGAAATGACCTTTTGAGGTGTAGGGTCCATCGCCTATAGCGCTGACCCCAGAAAATTTCGAGCCAGTCGGATGAGATATTCATGGCCATGCTAACCCGAGGGAGGAATTCCAGCCAATTCCTCGTCATATCGAACAAAACTTGGCCTAGATATCGAGGAACTAGACCCTATAAGGTAAATATGTAGGACGGGATTATTTTTTTGAATTGACAAATGAGAATTTCCCTGGAGCCGAGCCATGCCCCTAGAGCGTCGACCTCTTCAACAATCGAAAATCATAGCAGGCCGCTACTGGGAATTGACCTTCATTATTACTAGTTGCCTCAGTAAGATTCGTTTGTGCATTTTGAACTTCCTGGAAAAGCTGCACTTTCAGTGCGCCTCCCACTTCCTTTG